ATCAATAACTAATACAAATATTTTTTTAAAAAATTAGAGATTTCTATTCTTCAAAGATCATTATTTAGAGACTAGCCAAGTCAAAGGCTGGGAAAAAAATTTGCAAATCATCTGTTAAAAACATAATACCCAGAATATTCAAGTATTATGGTTTAGCTAAGAGGAATCCCCCAAAGCTCCTGTGTTAATGCAGGAATATTCAAAGGTGCAATGATTAGATTATGAGAGCTGTAATCTATTCAGTGAATTAATCCAGTTGATGGAGTGATAATTTGAAAGGATTTTTGTGCAAGGTGCTATCTGTAGTCAGGTGAGGTATGACTACAGAAGATAGGTCACTGCAAGAGTGCCCTAAAAATCACCATCTTCCCTGAGCCACCCCTCACCCCAGCTTCCTAGCTACCAATGAGCAGAGCAGCATGCTCTTCCTCCATGATGTTCTGCCTCACCTCAGACCCACAACAATGGAGCATCTCTGGAACCATGAGCCAAAATAAACTTTTCCTCATTTAAGCTGTGTTTTGTTTTGTTTTGGGTACCAGGGATTTAACTGAGGGGTACTTTATCACTGAGCGACAGCCCCAGTCCTTTTTATGTTTTATTTCTGAGACAAGGTCTTAGGTGCTGGGGCTGGCTTTGAACTTGTGATCCTTCTGCCTCAGCCTCCAAGTCACTGGGATTAAGAGTTGCTGAAATTATAAACCTGTGCCACCACGTCCAGTTTCTAAATTGTTCTTGTCAGGTATTTCGGACACAATTAGAAATCTCAAAAATTAATAATAAAAAACAACCCAACTGAAAAAATGTCCAAGAGATTTAAACATATATTTTATCAAAGATATACCATTGTCTGGCTGGGGATATATCTCAGTTGGTAGAGTGCTTGCCTCAAATGCACAAGGCCCTAGGTTCGATCTCTAGCACCACCAAAGAAAGAAAAAAAAAAGGTATACCATTGTCAAATAAGCACATAAAAATATGTTCAACATCATTAGGGAAATGCAAACTAAAATTACAATCCCTATTACATTAATTAAATAGACTGACCATACCAAATGCTGGCACACATATAGAGCATATACTATTTTTTTTTTTTGGGGGGGGGGGTCAATGAGAGGCTTTTAATAAGGATTTTAGAATTAAAAGCTCCAGATTCAGCATATCTCAATGTTCAGAAATCCTGACTAAAAGAAGCGAAACCAACACTAACCCCCTTAGCATGAACACACCTTTCTTCTTAGTAAATTTTACTTTAAATAGTGGAAAAAAAAACAAAAACCCCAACAGGTTAAAACAACTCCATGCAGACAGAACCTTCACAAAGGTCAACTGAAGTAATCCAGAGCTAAAACTGAATTGTGAAGATTTCAATGAAGTCACCAGTCATGTAACACAAATAAAGTCAATTAATTACACACTCGGGGAAGCCCTCCAAGCTACGTGCCCAAGAAGCATTAACCTTTGTTTTGTGCCATCCTGATGACTTGCACATAGTTTAACATTTTTTTTTTTTTAGTTTAACATTTTTAAGAGTGTGTTTTCCACGGTGTGGTAATGCTTTGGTACTATTCATATAAGATCTCATCTATCCCACCTACTCACCTCTTCTCCAAGAGGAGATTTGATTCTGCTTGAGAAGTTTCACATAAATTAAAATCTTTAACAAATAGAGCATATACTATTAATGAAAAACGGCACAAACACCTTGGAAAATAGTTTAGCTATTTCTTAGAAAGTTAAACTTAAAAAGCTGGGTGCAGTAGCTTGTTAGGTTAAAGCAGAAAGAATCACAAGTTCAAAGCCAGCCTGAGCAACTTTAGTGAAATCCCGTCTCAAAAATAAAAACTGGGACTGGGGATGTAGCTCAAGCGGTAGCGTGCTTGCCTGGCATGCGTGCGGCCCGGGTTCAATCCTCAGCACCACATACAAACAAAAGATATTGCGTCTGCCGAAAACTAAAAAATAAATATTAAAAAATTCTCTCTCTCTCTCTCTCTCTCTCTCTCTTTAAAAAAAAAATATATAAAAAAAATAAAATAAAAAGTGAAAAAAAGGGCTGGGATGTTGCTCAGTGATACAGCACCCTAAGTTCAATTCCCAGTAGCACTAAAATAATAAATAAGCACAAGTGTGCATGCGAATGCACGCATGCGCGCGCGCGCGCACACACACACACACACACACACACAAACCACACTAATCACAAAATCCACTCATTATCTCCTCAGTATTAGAAAAATGAAAACAAATTTCTACAATGTTCATAACAACTTTATTTGTAACAGCCCAAAACTAGAAACAATCCTAATGTCCATCAACAAATGAATGGAACACGGCATGGTATCCCATACCTGTAATCCCAAAAACTCAAGAAGCTGAGGCAGGACACGTTTGTGGCCAGCCTACAAAACTTAGGGAAACCTTGTCCCAAAATAAAAAATACAAAGATCTGGAGATGCAGTTCAGTAACAGAGCTTCCCTGGGTCCAATGGACCCAAAGAATGGATAAAATAATGCATTAAGAAGTCTGGGGGATATAACTCAGTATAACTTGTAGAGTATTTGCCTAGCATGTGCCAGATCATGGGTTCAACCTCACATTCTACACACAAACACACACACACACACAAAAAAAAAAAAACTGATAAGGACTGAGGATGTATCTCAGTGGTAAAGTGCTTTCCTAGCATATGAGGAGCTCTGGATTCCATCCCCAGCAGCACACACACACAAATACACACACACACACAGTGCTATCCATACACTAAAATATCTACTCAGCAATGAAAAGAAACTCACTATTGTTACATGCAACAACACATGTCTTACAATAATTATGCTGAATTGAAAAAGTAAGGCAAAAATGGCATATACTACATGATTCCATTCATATAAAATGAGAGAAAATATAAACTGATTTAAGGGAACAGAAAATAGATCAGAGGGCTGGGGATGTGGCTCAAGTGGTAGCGTGCTCGCCTGGCATGCGTGCGGCCTGGGTTCAATCCTCAGCACCACATACAAACAAAGATGTTGTGTCTGCCAATAACTAAAAAATAAAATATTAAAAAAAAAGAAAAAAGAAAAAGAAAACAGATCAGATACGCAGCTGCCTAGAGACTGGCAGAGGGGAAAACAAAATAAAAAATGGTGAGTAGGGCTGGAAATGTAGGTCAGTGATACAGAGCTTAGCTAGCACCTGTGAGGTCCTGGTTCGATTCCCAGCACCACAAAAGTTTTGTTTGTTTTGTTTTGTTTATTTAAAGGGAGTGGTAAGGATATATTACACAGGAATAAGGAAATTCAGGGGGGTGATGAACATGGCCATTACCTTGATTATGGTGACAGTTCCACAGGAATATACATATTACAAAACTTGACTAATTATATTCTATAAATATGTGAAATGAACTATATATTTTTTCATTTATACTGAAGTATAAAGCTTTCTTTAAAAAAAATAATAATCTAGAACAATGATTCCCAACTGTCTGTCATAACATACCTCTCTTATTAGTCACAAGGCTGAGACAGTGGAATAGAGGGATGTCTGCATACTTGGGCACATTCTAGTGAGATGCCTCTGATATACCCCTTCCAGAGCACCAATCACTGTTCTAGATTTTTTTTTTTTTTTTTTGGTACTAGGAATTGAAACCAGGGCCACTTTCCCACTGAGCTAGATCCCCAGCCCTTTTTTATTTTTTGAGACAGGATCTCACTAAGTTGCTGAGGCTCACCTCATACTTGCAATCCTCCAGTTTCAGCCTCCTGAATCACTGGGATTACAGGCATGCACCACTGTACCCAGCTAGACCATAAAAGTTTGAGTAAAAAAATCTAGATCTTAGAAACATTATACTAAGTGCAAGAAGACAAAAAGTCACATATAGGCAAATCTACACAGACAGAAAGAATATAAGTGGTTGTCATGGGGGTGAGGGAAAGGAGGAAGTGTAACTTAGCTACATCTCAGTTAAAAAAAAAAACAAGGAGGGCTGGGGTTGTGGCTCAGTGGTAGACCGCTTGCCTACCATGCATGAGGCACTAGGTTTGAATCTCAGCACCACATATAAATGAATAAATAAAAAAGAAAGGTCCATCAACAACTAAAAAAAAAATTTTTTTAAATAAAAATAATTAGAGGATGGATAATTATGGAATTTCCCAAGAACTGGAATAAGGGCAACAAAATAGTACCTGCAAAACTGATTACATATTATTAGATTCAACAGTATTAAGACAAACTTTCAACTATTCTCCAAAAAACAAGACAACCTACTATTGCAAAACTGCAGCTGTATACCACTTTTGTGACCATGGATAAGTTATTACGTCTTTTATGACATGGAGATGCTTACCCTAAATAACTATTATGAATAAAAGTCTTCAATAAACTATAAATAATACAAAAGCATGGGCAGAATTTGTTATTAAATATTACACTTCTATAAATAAAATGTACTTGCTGTAAGTAATTCGATGTTGCTACCATGTACTTTAATGTTCTCTTAGTTGCATGTGTACATGGAAATATAAATAGGAAAAGATATGTAAAACATATAAGAGATTCCATTCTGAAAATTTTATTTATTTATTTATTTATTTATTTGGAGACAGGTCTTGTTGCATTGCCCAAGCTAGTGTTGAAGAGGCTCAAGTGATCCAACTAACTCAGCTGCCTAAGTTAACTGGGACTACAGGAACATACCATTGCACCTAGTAAAATACTGTATTTTTAAAAAGCAGTGGAGTAGGGTTGGGAATGTGGCTCAAGTGGTAGCGCGCTCGCCTGGCATGCGTGCGGCCCGGGTTCGATCCTCAGCACCACATACAAACAAAGATTTTGTGTCCGCCAAATACTAAAAAAATAAATGAATAATTCTCTCTCTCTCTCTCTCTCTCTCTCTCTCATTCTCTCTTTAAAAAAAAAAAAAAAGCAGTGGAGCAGTGTAAACTATGTAACTATAAAAGGAAAGAGGTTATTTAGAGTCACCTACCTATTGGAGGTGCCTGGTATCGATCCACTGTTTTTCTTTGTCTTAAATTATATGGTCTATCATTTTCTTCTCCTTCTGCCTCTTCAACTTCTATATCTCCATCCTCCTCTTGAGATTCTAGTTTTCCCCACACAAAAAGGAATAAAAAAGGCACTATTTTAATCCTTAAGAATTGGTCCCACTCTAAAAGTGAATATTTACATTTTATCCATTTCTGCACAGGTGACATTCAAAGTGTCAACATTTTATTATATAGCATAAATCAATATAATTAAAAATCAACCTGGGTAAATGTAAAAAAAAAAAAAAAAAAGCTGCTTTTCCTACCAATGATCAATACAGATTTCTGCAAAAATTAAACCAAGGTGATCATATTTGACCTCTTAATTTACATAGGAACTTTTAAACACAAAAAAACAATAGAACATGACTTCAAATTTTTCCAAACTACAGCAAAGCTCAGTCAAAGCACAATTTAAAACCAAATACGATTTGGACTCAAATACCTCTTGGTAATCAAAAAAAAAAAAAAAAATTGGCTTATAATGTAATCATTGGTATTATAGCCAGAACAAATTTTTTTGGCAGTATAATAATTTGATAGGTCTGTTGACAACAGTTAAGCATGGGTTAGTCACACTTTGGTAGGAAAATGCTGACAGGAACTGGAAGGAAGTATAAAACAGACTTATAGGGTACTGATGATAGTTTAGTTCTTGACATGAGTGGTAACTCACAATAATTCATCTATCCGTACAGTTAAATGAATTATAAAGTACAATAAATTCTAAAAGCCTATTTTTTAAAAAAAATGGTTTGGTTATAGTTATGATGTAGCATCTATTTATAGTTTAAAAAGCATAAAGAAAATTTATAGGCATATCATCCCCAAATGCAATATACTTTATGATTAACTTTGTTACCACAAGAATTGTTAATACAACACAATCAAATTAAGGCATAGAAAAATTTTTAAACTTGCCAATAATGCTGAGTGAAGTAGAACAGTAAAACTCCAAAGGACTTTACATTTTACTCATGTCTCTTAAAGTTTATTTCAAGTTTTGAATAATTTTTACTGTTAGGTTGTAGAGAAAATCAGCAAGTCAATATTACTTATCTAAGTAATACTATAAAATATTTGTGCCCAAATAAGTTTTCTAAGCCTTCAAAAAATTACTTACTGAAAAAAAAACTTGCATATAACACATTATTCATTATGAGCAAAAATTCTATATATGGCATATTTACTTTGGAAACTCTACAAATGTATTCAGTTAATGAAAAGGCAAAATCGCATTTAAATCTGTCTCACCTATACTGTTTTTCTCCAAAGGAAGCAATATAGAGGTTCTAGCTGTAACAACAATAATATTTGCTCAATAAGGTACCTTCATTAGAAATATCAACTCTTCAAAAGCAGCTAATGTATTAAACACAGAATTTGAGAAATAAATGTATTCTTCTTCATCTAAGCTACACATACAGTGAAACTAGGAAGATTCCCTTGTAAAGTACTATTAATCTATATCAATAGTACATCAAGTCTCCTGAAATTCATTTCTACAAAGATCAATATCTGGGGAATTAAACCCTATAGTACACTGCTCAACAATTATAATCCATGGAGTCAATGTGCTTTCTTCATGTACCCAGTTTTAGGCCTAAAATATTCAGTGTGGGTTCTTCATTCAAAACTCAGAAAGGCCTCAGTAAAGAACAATACAGACTACTTCACTAGTATTAGCAGTTCCACTTTCTCTAAATTTCACCTTTTACTCCTCAGTCTATAACTAACTGAAATCCAAATAACAAAATTTGGAGGCTCTGGAGAGCAAATTAACATTGCAGTTAGTATTTAGTTGTCTAAATACTAAAGAGGCCTCACCTAACAAGCTAATTAACTTATGGCAAATACCACTTCCAATACTAGATCCCACAAGCACTAACCAAGAATTACTAATATATTACATAAATATTTATAATGTAGTTAAAAGCATTTTCCCAAATGAAGGAAATGAAAACCCAGAATACCAACTGAGTTTAAATTACTTCAAATTATAGAATATAGACCTCAAAAGTCAAAAATCACCTCCCTAGCAATATTTTACAACTATAATTTGTACATAATATTTTTCTTCCCTCCCACCTAAACTTTCTAGTATTTACTTCATAAGGTGCTTTACAAACCTTCTTCTTCACCCTCAGTAGAAACTTCATGATGATTCTGAATCCCATAACTATTTCTTCTTAGTGATTTTCTTCGCCTTTTCACTCTTGAATACATATCCATGTTTTCCTTTTAAAGAGAGAAATCATCAGATATTAACATGGCATTTATTCTTTGCTATAAATAATATCAACCCAATGAAATATGCCAGCTTGATAAAAATTTACTGAGCACCTATTTATAAGGCACAGATTTATGAGGATGGAGATTCTTGAATTTGTAAAGGACAAAATGGAAAAAAAACTTACAAAAAATGAAAAACATACTTTCTCCCTCAAGCAAACTGCACCCTAATTGGAGGCAGTAAGACAAGTAAGGTAATTATAAAATAAAACAAGTTTAATGCTGTAAAGACAGGTAAAGAGTACACCAGAATCCAAAGAATAGAAATTCTTCCTCTTATTAAGGAGTGGAAGGGAGGCAGCATTTGTGAGGAACCTTGAATAAGTGGTAGGATTACATCAGTCACTAACCAGAAATATTAGCAAGAGTAAAATATATGGAGGAAAATGATTTGTTTGTATTTGGGCAATGATGTGTAAGAAAATAAAGTTGAAGCCAGATTACAAAGGTCAAGGTGTTTTTAATTAACTCAGTGAATAATTCAGAAACCATTAAATGTTCAAAATAGAGCAGTGAGAGAGGTACACTTTAAGATGATTCATCTGGCAAAAGCATAAAGGGTCTTTTAGGAAAGGTTGCAGCAAGAAGAGAATGAAATGAAGAAAGCAAGCAATAAAATTCCAAACTAAGTTGAAAAGAACAATTGTTGATTCAAAAAATCCTACTATTATTCATTCTCCCTTCGAATTCCTCATTCATTGCAATTATTAAAAAAAAAATGAAAAGATTACTACAGCTAATGTACTCACAAATTCTGTATCTGTCCACATTCGAAGTCGTTCCACTTCTCCTGATCGTCGATTCCGTCGGATGTTAATATTGTCCATTTCTTGTAGTACAGCTTCAGCAGTACTACAATTATATAATAAATCCAAGGTTTAGATAATAGTGAGACCACACACTACATCATACATGTCAAAGTCTATTCAGCAAAGCATAATTAAATCATCTCTGATATGTAGCTATATGATTTAATAACTTTCATAACTAGTTTCAGAAGACAATTTGCATTAAAAAAAGATGGAACCAGAACATCTTCTATCTTAATGTATTTATTAAAATTTTAATATAAGGCTTTTGTTTATAAGGCTCCAAATAAATAAATCCATAATGCCACTATAAACAACTGATTACCAGAACCACGGGACTGAAAAACAAAAACTAAGTAAAAATCTTTCAACTTGAAGATATTATTAGGAACGTATAGAAAAAAAAATAACAAAAAGGTTTAAACAAAACTGTGGAACCAACCTAGATGCCCTTCAGTAGATGAATGGATTCACAATAGAATACTACTCAGCAATAAAAGGTAATAAAATCATGGCATTTGCAGGTAAATGGATAGAGTTGGAGAAGTAAGGCTAAATAAAGTTAGCCAATCCCAAAAAAACAAATGTCAAATGTTTTCTCTGATATAAGGAGTCGGACTCATAGTGGGGTAGGGAGGGGGAGCATGGGAGGAATAGAGGAACTCTAGATAGGGCAGAGGGGTGGGAGGGGATTAGCAATTAGAGGGGTCAGGGGATTAGCAACGATGAAAGTACATGTATGAAGACATGAATTCGTGTGAACATACTTTATATACAAACAGAGATATGAAAAATTGTGCTCCATATGTGTAATAAGTATTGTAATGCATTCTGCTGTCATGTATTTAAAAAATAAAATCAATTAAAAAAAGGTTTAAAACAGTTAAGATTAACTGGAACTGGTGTTGTGGTTCAATGGTACAGTGCTTGCCTAGCATGTGTGAGGCACTGGGTTCAATTCTCAGCACCACATTTAAATAAATAAAATAAAAATCCATTGACAACTAAGAAATATATTAAAAAAAGATTAACTGAATATATTTTTAGAAATTTTACAGTAGAACACTGGTATCCAAGAAATACATGTTGATATCTTAGCAATTTTTATTTTATATTATAAACACTCTCATAACATTTGCTATGTGCCTAAGTTCTGATCTAAGTGCCTAACAAATAATAACATACGAAAATTTATCTCTATATTATTATTTCCTCTCCTATGAAATGGAGATCATACTAATTGTAAAACTATCTAAAGGCTAAGTAGAGGGCTGGGGATGTGGCTCAAGTGGTAGCGCGCTTGCCTGGCATGCATGTGGCCCGGGTTCGATCCTCAGCACCACATACAAACAAAGATGTTGTGTCCGCCGAAAACTAAAAAATAAATATTAAAAATTCTCTCTCTCTCTCTTTAAAAAAAATAATAATAAAAAAATAAAGGCTAAGTCGAATGATGTACACTATGGTTTAAATGTCTCTCAAAGTTCACGAGTTAAAAAATTAATCCTCAATGCAACAGAAATGAGAGGTAGGACCTTTAAAAGGTAATTAGGTCACTGGGTCACCATATTCATGAATGGATTAAGGTAGTTACTACAACAGTATTAGTTATAAAAGGGAGGAGTTCAGCCCCCTTTCCCCTTGCCCTCTCTTCCCTTCCTCCCCGTTTCTCTTGCATGTTCTTGCCATGCCATGCCTCCACTATGTTCTGATGCAGGAAGAAGGCCCTCAAGAGTCTTAGTTAGACTTTCTAGCCCCCAGGATCATGAGAAATAAGTTCCTTTTCTTTATAATTTACCCAGTTTGTTAGCATAGCCAAAAAAAAGGACTAAGACAATATATTTTCTGAGAAGACTAGTTTTGTGAATATAGACGATGAGCTGATAACTGGTGAAACTCACTCACCAGCTAAGTGACTCAATGCTAAGTACTCTGGCTCAAAACATCTTTAATTCAAAATTATGACTAAGCAAAACTACCATTATCTTTTTTCCTCCTAGTGCACAGGACCCAGCCCAGGGTCATGCACATGCTATACAAACACTCTATCACTAAGTTATACCCCCAGCTTTCCATTCACTGTCAGTATGAATGAAGCTTAATATTGCTTAATGAAGCTTAATATTGCTTGAAAACTGTCAAAAACACAAATGTGAAATGAGTAATAATCAAAGGACTACAGTATTGAAATTTAAATAAAATTAGTTTTATCATCTATTCACAAGCGATTGATAAGAAAATTTTAGCTATTATACACATTATATTAAATATACTAACCTTATGAAAACCCTTATAGTCACTACCAGCCTTTGTTAATTCAGATTAAGTTTTAAAAGAATTGTGTTTATTGCAGAGGGTGTTTAAATTACTTTTCTAAAAACAACAGGCTTAAAAATCAAATAATTAAATAAAATTGCTTACTGCATAAACATTCATACCTATTTACTAGTTGATCAAACAGCAAACTCTGGTTCACACTTTCAAATCTGTTTTTCCTGGAACGACAACTTTTTCTGACTTCCATGTCACCATTTATACAAGAAAGATCCCCATCTCCCTTCTTTTCCCCTCGAAGGGGATGGCTTCGAAGGGCTACAAGAAGAGAGAGATTTCCATTTCAAAGTACAAAACTCAAAAGGAAGAAAATTAAAAAATATTTAACAATTACTTTTAAAAGACTATAAAAGTTGAACTCTTAAAAGGCTTTAATACTCAATAATCTAAATTTTCTTATAACTTCTATAATCAATCAAAATATTTTAATTATTTCAGTTATACCGATTTTTCAAAATTCAATGATTATGTACATTTTCGCTATGACTGAAATTCAGGTCACTTCCAACTATATAGGAGCACAGTATTAAATTGCTCTCTTCTTCCCCACTTTAATGCTTAAATCTAACACCATTATAAAAATTTCAATACCAACCAGTTTCACAACAGAATACTCACATAAGCTACTATGTCCGTTTGGTAACGTAGCACCAGGCTGAGAAGTTAACCTAGAACACAATTATATTTAATATGCAAACACATCAACATTTGTTTAGATAAACAAGAAATTCAATATTGATGGAATTATTTTATAATCTTTAAAATGTTAGTGATATATTATGCTTTACAGTAAGATAACATTTTTTACTGAGATTGATAGCATACCAACTAATAACATACTAGCTAAGAGTCATTTAATTATTTCAAGAAAAGTTTTTCTCTTTAATAACTTTATTTTAATTATTTATTTATTTATTTATTTTTATGTGGTGCTGAGGATCGAACCCAGGGCCTTGCATGTACAAGACGAGCGCTCTACTGCTGAGTCACGACCCTAGCCCTCAAAAAAAGTTTTAATAAAAGATTATAAACTGAATTTACTGTGTTGTCAACACTATGAATTAAAATTCCAGTGAAAAGGCTTAGCTTAACATGCAGCACAGACTCAACTGAACCTGTAGGTAACCATGACAACTAATAACGATTGACTCTGGTTGACAAAATACATTCCAAATTATAACAAATTTATTCAAACTGTAAGGGAAAAAAGTACTTGAACACCAATATCATTTATTAATTTCTTTGAAATATTTTATTACACATTTTAAACTGACAAATGAAAACTTTGCTGACTTCTCAGAAATGTCATTTTACAATTCTCCTGTTTCAGGAGAGGAAGAGAAAAATGCCATTAGAAAGAAACTAAAAAGGTCATCAAAACATGAGAGCTTAAGTAGTCACAGTATTCTCAGTATAATCAGAGATTTTAAAAACAAAAACTAAGTTGGTACATAATAAAAGAGCTGTCAATGCAAACTAAAATAGTTTTGAAATACAATTTTTTTAAGATAAAAAACAAGGGAAAAACATTAAACAGCAAATATATGACTTTTTTCTAATCTATATGGTTCATGTAAATTTTTATTTAAAATATTCGAACATTTTTGGTTGTTACTCTAGCACTCTTCATTTTCAATTACAAATATATATCATAATAATACCCCTGGGACAGCAAAGGTTATAACCAACATGAATATCAGGTATAAACAAAAATGCAGACAAGTATGCATTTCTTCAGGCTGTCAAAAAACAAACACAGGGTGCTGGGGTTGTGGCTCAGTGGTAGAGCACTCACCTAGCATGTGCAAGCACTGGATTCGATCCTCAGAACCCCATAAAATAAACAAACAAAATAAAGGTATTGTGTCCAACTACAAGTAAAACACACACACACACACACACACACACACACACACACACGGCTGGGGTTGTGGCTCAGTGGTAGAGCACTTGCCTAGCATGCATGAGAGACTGGGTTCTTTCCCCAGCACCACATAAAAAAACTAAATAAACAAAATTAAGGTATTGTGTCCATCTACAACTAAAAATATTAAAATACACACACACAAATAAAATAAAAGAAAAAAACCTTCCAATCCCCTTTTCTCCCTGGAATACAAAATCTTGTCCTAATATACCACCTTTTATGTGTAACTATAAAGTAATTAATGTAATATGTATATTCTAACAATGTTGCTATTGCACAATGCATTTCTGGAATTCTCTAGAACCCTCGTAAGATCCACTTAAAACCACATAGAAAAATCAATGTTATTACTTCATAAATACTTTTTGGCTTTAGAACCAATATAACATTAACTCAGTTTATTCAGAAATTATCAATTTATTCAGAAGTCTTGGTGCCAAGTGAATTTTGGCTGGACACAAGGACAAATAGTTGATATTTTAGATCACTTAAATTATTCAAAACAATAAAATGCAGACCTTAAAATCATTCCACAAAAGAAACCTAAAAATTTTTCTGAACAATGGCAACATCATTGGGATAAGAAGCAAAGTAAGATTTTTTTGCTGCTCTAAAGAAGACAATGCATACTTTGGTAATTTTTGTTGCTAATAAAAGATTAGCTTTTAAAAAACAAAGCTTATTCAGGCATGGTGGGACATGCCCATAATCCCATCTATGTGGGAAACTAAGGCAGGATAATTGCAAATTAGAGGCCATCCTAAGCACTCAGGGAGACCTTGACTCAAAACAAAAAAAAATTTAAATGGCTGGAGACATAGCTGAATCTTTGCCTGGCATGTGCAAGATCCTGGGTTCCATTTCTGACTGGGGGGAAGGGGGCTCGTTCCTCATGCTATTCAACCAACTACTACTTCTCTGTTATTTCTCCTTTATCATTTCTCTTTATAAAAAGGAGAAACAAAGAAGGAAAAAGGACATGAAATACTTGGATAATATAACAAGGGAAATACTGAGATTTTAAAGAGTTGACCTGCCAAGAAATAATGTATGAGCCTAAAAAGTCTTTAAACATCAATGTTCTCAAAAGCTAATCACTAAAAATATGATCAGGGATTTGGGGTGTAGACTGTGATAGGGCATACACAAGACCTTATATTCCATTCACAGCATGGCAATCAAGTAGGGTCATTGCTTAAACAAATCTTCCATAGATTATTTATGATACAAAGGTTCCTTTGTTTATTTTTTAAAGTGGAGGTTGGTAGAGAATTTTTTTCCCCAATATCTGTTTCTCAGTTTTTCTTTTTCTACCCGCCCCACCACCCATGGGTGTATGATGTGGTGGGGATCTAATCCAAGATTTCATGCATGCTTAGCAATCACTTTACTTGTAAGCTTTCCCCCCAGCCCTACTAAATTTTTAATTGAAGACAGTTTTGCCCTTCATTAGATGATTATTATATTAGTATTTTCTACAGCTTTAAACAATCTGAGTGCACACCAACACAATACTACTCATTAATGCCAGGTGTAGCGTACACATCAATAATCCCAGAGGATCGGGAGGCTGAGGCAGGAGAATCCCAAATTCAAACACAGCTTCAGCAACTTAGCGAACCCCTAATTATCTTAGTGAGACCTTGTCTCAAAATAAAGAATAAAAAAAGCTGGGAATGTGGTTCAGTGGTTAAGTGCCCCTAAATTCAATCTCTGGTACAAAAAAAAAAAAATTACTAGCTCAAGGCTGAGGCAAGAGGATCACAAGTTTGAAATTAGCCTAGGTAGTTTAGCAAGACCTTGTTTCAAAATAAAAACAAAGGGGCTGGGGTTGTGGCTCAGTGGTAAAGCGCTTGCCTAACATGTGCAAGGCCCTGGGTTCGATCTTTAGCACAACATAAAATAAATAAATAAAATAAAGATATTGTGTTCAATACAACTAAAAAATAAATATATATTTTAAAAAAGAGTTGGACATAACTCAGTGGTAGAGCGCTTGTATAGCAAGCAGGAAGTCCTGGGTTCAATCCCTAATACCACCAACAAAAATTTCATTACTGGCTGGGGGCATAGGTCTACAGCAAAATGTGTGAAGCCCTACTTTAAATCCCCACCACCAAAAGAAAAAAATATGTCATTTCTTATTTTCCTTTTCTCATATAAAGCCAAGGCAATTAGTGATTTGTGAGGGTTATAAACCCTGATTCATAAAAAGTCCCAGTTCTGACAGAACATACACAGCCACTACCACCTCTCAATTCTAATGTGCCTCAGCAGACTGACATAGTGGTCACTGCTGCCAAATCTCACTACTCCCTCATCACCTTACCACAAAAGGAAATTTTCAGGCATGCTATAATTGTTCTGTTAGTCTCATTAAATATTTAATTTTGTCTATCGTAAGAGTATGTTATTCTGTTATTCTAGAGACATCATTCTCTAGGCCTCCTCTCCTAAAACCATCACCACCACACTCACTCACACACTACACACGCAGGCCCCAGATTAAATAAATGTCTGAACAGCTAGGCAAGGTGATGCACACCTGTTATACCAGCTGTTCTGAAGGCAGAGGTAGGAACATTTCGAATTCAAGGTCAGCTTCAGCAACTTAGTAAGACCCTGTTTCAAAACAAAAACTAAAAGGACTGGGACTATAGCTCAGTGGTAAAAAGCCCCTAGGTTCAATCCGTACCAAAAAAAAAAAAAACAGGAAAAAGGAAACTCAAAAACTCTACATCCACTTTATCTTCATCCAATTACCTATCTCTAAAAAGAAAACTTATTTCAACAATTAAGAGTAATTTCTTTAGGGCTGTGGCTGGGGCTCAGCTGTAGCACACTTGGCCTGGCTTGTGTGAGGCACTGGGTTCAATTCTCAGCACCACATATAAATAAATAAAATTAAGGTCTATCAAGAACTAAAAAAAAAAAAAAATTTTAAGAATAATTTCTTTAAAGAAGTTAGCTGTCTTTGCAAACTTCTTTAGGATTCATTGCTTCTCTAGGATGATAAAATTCCTGCCCATATTCAATTTCCCTGTAAATGAATCATTATTCCTAACGAATTATTTTTCTAAAAGGACTTAAATAATTTTACCTTACATACTCAGAGAGCTGGGTTACCAAAATAAAGCAATCAAAAATTTCAAGTTCATTACATAAAAACAAATCCTAGGGCTAGGGATGTAGCTCAAGCAGTAACGCGCTTGCCTGGCATGCGTGGGGCGCTGGGTTCCATCCTCAGCACCACATAAAATAAAGATGTTGTGTCCGCCGAAAACTGATAAATAAATATGAAAAAATTCTCTCTCTCTTTAAAAAAAAAAAAAAAAATCCAAGACTTTTAATAAATCCTGATGTTATATTTATCTACAAAAATCTATAATCCTGATTTTTGTATTATCTCAAAATCTAAAATATTTTTAACTACAAGTCTTTCTTGAAATTCAATTGTGTTGAATGCAGTAAGTCAAATAATATTTTCTTTTCAGGCCATCTAAAACATCAAAAGGGGGCTGGGGATGTGGCTCAAGTGGTAGTGCGCTTGCCTGGCATGCGTGCGGCCCGGGTTCGATCCTCAGCACCACATACAAACAAAGATGTTGTGTCCACCAAAAACTAAAAAATAAATACCAAAAATTCTCTCTCTCTCTCTCTCTCAAAAAAAAAAAAAAAAGGGATAATCTTTTTAAAAAATAAAATAAATAAAAATAAATAAAACATCAAAAGATCTTAATTCTAACAGGGCAGCACTATTCATATTCCTAGATCAAGCAACTAAAAACACTTCTTAGGGGGCTGGGGCTGTAGCTCAGTGGCAGAGTGCTTGCCTAGCATGTGTGAGGCACTGGATTCAATCCTCAGCACCACATAAAATAAAGGTATTACGTCATATATGACTAAAAAAAAAATTTTTTTAAATAAAGATTTAAAAAAAAATAAAAACACTTCTTAAATTGTGCAAACTGTAAACAATAATTTTTCTACCAAAACAAAAACAACAAATTAATTAGTATTCATTATTTAAGCTTTTTATGGAAGTATACTTAGTACTTTTTTAAAAGCACTTAGCTTGGTAGTATATGCCTGTAACCCCAGGAGGCAAAGATAGGAGGATCGAAAGTTTGAGGCCAGCCTCAGCACCTTAGAAAGGCCCTAAGCCACTTAATAAAACCCCATCTCAAAATGGGGGTTGGGGGACACTGGGGATGTAGCTCAGTGGTAAAGCCCTCCTGGGTTCCATCCCCAGTACCACTGGGGGGAAAAAAAAAAAGGAATATCAAACTGTAAGATACCTAAATGGAAATATAACTATCCTTCCAATATATTTTGAAGACTTTTCATATGAAAGAACATGATCCAAATCAATTTACATAAAGCCTTTTTGGACAGATAGGCTGTGAAAAATATAGCACATTGCATATGTACAACTGAATAAATATTAACGCTAATATTAACATTAGTAAAAAAAACATTATTAAAAATGTTTTTCTAGAAAAAACCTGACTCATTCATTTTATAAATGCAGAATACAGATTACAACAGATAGGTTAAGTATAAAGTATAATTAAATGGCAGTACTCTTTTTCTAAGAGACAGGGTCTCACTATGTTAACTCCTGGGCTCAAGGGATCCTCTCCTGCCTCAGTCTCCTGAGGAAAATTTTAAAAAGTTAAAAGTAATATCTTTTATAGAACATACTGTTTTAAATATAAATCCTTAGAGAGTTTATGTACATAGCCCATCAAAGTCTGTATAACACCAAGATTTTGATTAAAGAGTAACAGTATTTAGGGCTGGGGTTGTGGCTCAATGGTAGAACACTTGCCTGGAACATGTGAGGCACTGGGTTCAATACTCAGCACCACATATAAATAAATAAATAAATAAATAAATAAATAAATAAATAAATAAAATTATGTCCACCTACAACTAAAAAAATATTTTTTAAAAAAATAGCAACAGTATCCAGAATTTACCTCCATTTATGAAATTAAAATACCTTTAAACGCTTGAAAAAGAATGAAAACAAAGGACTTCCCTTTAGTTTGTTCTCTGCATATCATCAGCAATTGTACATCAAAGACTTTGGAAAAGAAGCAACAGCTAAAGATTTATAGTTCAATATTAAAATCTTTTCTGTTTGTGTGCACACCTATCCAACCTACATTAAGTTATTACCATTTACTTTGAAACAGAGCAAAATTAAGTTCTTCTAATACATATTGAACCAAACACAAAGCAAATTTAATTGAAAACAAGATAATGCATGAAAAAGATTTTTTTTTATAATAATTGAAATCTCATTACATTATAGTATATCAATTCAAGTAGAACATTCAATAATCTTAGGGGAGATTTGATTTATTTTCCATTAAAAAATATAAATCTAGGGGCTGGGGATGTGGCTCAAGCGGTAGCGCGCTCGCCTGGCATGCGTGCGGCCTGGGTTCGATCCTCAGCACCACATACAAATGAAGATGTGTGTTCGCCGAAAACCAAAAAATAAATATTAAAAAAATTCTCTCTCTCTCTCTCTCTCTCCCTCTCTCAAATATATATATATATATATATATATATATATATATATATATATATATATATATAAAAATCTAATCATATGTTTTATTATTGAAACTAGATTTATGGGGCTGGGGCTCAGTGGTAGTGCATGTGCCTGGTATGTGTGAGGCACTGGGTTCGATTCTCAGCACAACATATTAAAAAAATAAAGATCTATCAGCAACTAAAAAATATTTTTAAAAATAAATAAATAAATAAAACTAGGTTTATTAAGCTAGTCATAAATTTTAAGGACTATAAATATGAATGCCCATTCAAGATCCATTAAAATCCTTATTCTTTTAGTAATAATAGTTTCTATTACACACTATATATCTTTATAACACATATACCTTTTACAGAACATTTGGAGAAAATAAATTTACAGACAAAAAATTATAAAATTAACTTAATTTATATCTACAAGTATTTAAGATACTAGTTGACTTAGAAGTTAAGAAATTAGCATTAACATCAACTCTGAATCACATCAAATAATTCATGAAAAAACAACGAATAAATCCTCCCTTCTCACCTGGTCTGTCCAGTTGTTATGTTCCATTCTTCTCGCTGACCAGTACTTCTCGATTTCGATTTGTCTTTGCAAACAGAATCTGGTTGTTTCAAAGTGCGTTTGGCTGGAGGAGATACGTGGCTATCACTTAAACTCCCATCAACTTCAGCTTTCTGAAAAAGATCATTAAAAATTTATTTATTACTCCTATTAAGAAACAAAATACTTACTATTCTTGGATAATTAAGGAGAGTACTTTTTTCAACCAGTATGTATTGACCAAATCATACTACAAATATAGAAAATATAATTATTTATAAATATAGAAACAAGAAAGGAAGGAAGATTAAAATTATAGCTAGAGGCCAGGTATGGTGGCAAACACCTATAATTCCAGCAGCTCAGAAGGCTGAGGCAGGAGGATCATGAGTTCAAAGTCAGCTTCAGGAAGACTGAGGCCCTAAGCAACTCAATAAGACTCTGTCTCTAAATAGCTGGGGGTGTGGCTCATGGTCAATGCCCCCAAGTTCAATCCCTGGTACCCCCCCCAAAAAAAAATTATAGCTAGAAAAACATATTTCATTTATTGGTTTTAATTTGAATAAGTTTCAAGAAAAGGTGTATGACTGCTTGGGATACTTACATATCTTTCTATAAGATAATGCTTCAAATGTCCTAAAAACTCTGGTGTACACTTCCCAAAATACGGGACAATTTATATTACTATTTATATTACTAATTTATATACATTATATTTATATTTTACATTATATTTATATATTTTACATTATATTTTACATTATATTTATATTATTTATTTATATTTATATACATTATATTATTATATTATATTTATATAAATTATAATACAATTTATATTACTAATCCTCACAATCAGGAAATCAACACTGGTGTAACGTAAAGCCAATCCACAAACATTCAAATTTTACCAAGTGTCTCAACAATGTCTCTCTGATCCAGGATCCTATCCAGGAACATATATTGCATTTAGCTACCAGATCTTCCCTCCCGTGTACCCTGGAACAGTATTTCAGTCTTGCCCTATCTGTCTTTCATGTCTTGACTGTAAGAGTACAGACCTCTCGTTTTCTAAGACAACCCTTCTCTCTGGGTCTAGCTGATGTTCTTCATAATCAGATTTAGGGTACACATTTTGGAAAGAATATATGGAAATAATGCCTTGCATACTATATCCTTCCCATCACTAAGGATGTTAGTGGTCATGATGGCCTGGTCAAGTTGGTATCTGTCAAGTTTCTACAATGTAAAGTTACTATTTTCCCCTTTTTATCTGGTTAGATATTATTCTGATAACTCACCAATATTCTGTTCCTGACCAAATCTCTCCCACTAACTGGGTGGCAACATACTTTATATATAAACAGAGATATGAAAAATAGTAGTATATATGTGTAATAAAAATTGTAATGCAAAAAAAAAACAAAGTACACATATAAAGGCATAAATTGGCGTGAACATACTGTATATACAAAGATATGAAAAATGAACTTTGTATGTGTAATAAGATTTGTAATGCATTCCGCTGTCATGTATTTAAAAAAATAAAATCAATAAAACTAAAAAAAAATAAAATAAAAAAGCTCAGTGGCTGGTAGAGCAATCCTAGGTAAATTCCCAGTACAAAAAAAAAAAGAAGGAAAGCAGGGAGACAATTAGAAATTCAAACAGCAAGGCAGGAGGTGCACGCCAGTCATCCCAGCCACTCTGGAGGCTAAGTTGAGGCCAGCCCCAGGAATTTAGTAAAGCCCTATGCAACTTAGTGAGATCTCAAAAAGGGCTGGGATCAAACTCAGAAGGTTAAGGGTCCTGTGTTTTCTTTCATATAGGGAAGCTAGAGAGGAAAAAGAAAAAGAAAGGTGGAAGTTGATCTCCTAAAAATCAAAGGGAGAGCAGCAGAGGAAAAGAACAAAGGGATTGAAGGTAAGGAGGGAAGGGGAAGATGCTGGGGAGTGACACTGATCAAGTTATATTGTTACATTGTGTGCATGTACAAATATGTAACAAGTCCCATCAATATGTACAACTATAATGCACCAATAAAAAAAAGTGGGGAAAAAAACAGCGTGGCTAATGTTAATGAATGAATAAAGATTCTGAAAGGCAAAAAAAAATACGGGGCTGGGTATGTTGCTCAATAGTTAAGCACCCCTGAGTTTCAATGTCAAGTACCAAAAAAAAAAAAAAAAAGAAAGAAATTTTTAAATTATGTAATAATACTTTATTAATAAAAGACTTTTTTATGATATAATTCTCTAGGCCTTTGCTTTCTCCAACACCATCCTTTAAGAGAGTAAATACTAAAGCTCGAGGTAAGTGAACTAGCTCAAGGTCTAGCCAACATAACTAACAAATGACTGACCAAAAAAGCCCCTAGAACTTTGGCCCTTTTGTTTCCAGTGCAGTTTTCTTTATACTATCTCAGATACTCTACCCTAGGATATTTATAGTCTCCAAGGTTATGTGCCTTAAAGCTGACCTAATACAACTACTCATCCTAGACATTCTTTACTCCAAATATGCCCAATGGCATGGGCATCATCTGCCTTGTAGCTCATTAGAAATGCAGAATCTTAGAGCCGGGCTCCGTGGCACGTGCCTATAATCCCAGTGGCTTGGGAGGCTGAGACAGGAGAATCCCAAATTCAATGCCAGCCTTAGGAATGGCAAGGCACTAAGCAACTCTAAATCAAATACAAAATAGGGCTGGGGATGTGGCTCAGTGATCGAGTACCCCTGAGTTCAATCCCCAGTACCAAAAAAAAGCTACACAGAAATGCAGAATCTTAGGCTCCACACCTGGCCCTACTGAATCTGAAACCATTTTAACCAGATCCACAGGTGCTCCATGTGCACATTAGGCTTTGAAAATCATTATTATATAACATACTCAAAACTTAGTCACTGAAAAAAAAAAAAAAAAACTTAGTCACTGAGAAAACAACATCATGTATTCTAAGCTAAGGTATATTTGTGAATAAGAAATTAATATATATAAACTACTTTAGATCTCCATCTATTTATTTATTATGGAATGCTTGGGATTGAAACCAGGGACTAGTGCATGTTGGTCAAGTGTTCTACCATTCAGCTACACCTACATCCGCTCCTTTGCCAATTTAGATACTCCAAGCCAACATTATTCCTTCTAATAAAATCACTTCAAGACCATCTCTTCAATACCATTCTTTCATGAAACCATCCTGAAGAATCAAACCTAAATTGATGCTTTCCCCCTATTAGCTACAATATTTATATATAATTATTTCCACAAACTTATCTGATCAAGCTCTTGTTTTCATAGTTCATCTGCAAGTACTACAGTTTCCCAAACATATTATGGAAACAAATATTATATACTATGGAATTGAACACAAAACAAAATAGTAAAATATTTGATGCCCAGCAATTTTTAAAACATTCTCAGTACGTAAGTCTTTGGACATCAAGTTCTATTCAGGAGTCAGTCTCAAACTGTTGTCTATATAATTATCTGAATTAGAAATCACCTGTATTAGTCATCACAGCAGTATAACCTGCTGAACTAGAATCTCTGGATGTAGAACATTTTAATGAGGGCCTCCAAACGATGCTTAAGCACAAATTTGAGAACCACAGGAAACAACATAGTTTAAGCATGATATGAGGTACATCATCCTAACTGCTGCACTGTACTGGCATATTTACTGCTCTTATTATGAGAGGGTTTCACACCTTACTTGACTCTATGACAGAGACCTAGGAATGAATTGCATTACAAAAAGCTCCTTCTCTCCAAAGAAATCTAGGGATTTCAGTAAAGCAAATAACCAAGTTGCAAATAGTTACAAAAATAGTTACTTCTGCACTACTTAATGAATCACATTACAAAAGGCTTCTTCTCTCCAAAGAAATCTAGGGATTTCAGTAAAGCAAATAACCAAGTTGCAAATAGTTACAAAAATAGTTACTTCTGCACTACTTAATTAACTTCAACATTGGGGAAAGCTTTAATCTACACCTGATAATAACAATTCACCTTTAATAGGATGATCAAAATGCTCAACCTTAATTTTTTCATCCTCAAAGCACTTTACTAGCTAATTATAACATAACTCTTCCTTTGAGGGAAGGCGTTACTAGTTTCATGACAAAGATATTTCAAAAAGATTATGCAAGCTACCCACAGCCATTTAGTAACCTGTGTCAAAGTTATAACAATTCATAAGTAGGAAAGGTATCTAAAACCAAGGGAATCATTTCATTTAACAAACATTTATTGAGAACCTACTTGACCCTAAACAGTTATAATAATAGTTAATAATAAATTATATAAAATTCTGTTAGCCAAAAATGAGAAAAAAAATGAGAAATGACAACTACTAGTAGAGACAAAGACATCATAATGATGTGGAATTTAAAATGATTATGTAGAGGGCTGGGGTTGTGGCTTAGTGGTAGAGCACTTGCCTAGCACATGTGAGGCACTGGGTTGGATCCTCAACACCACATAAAATAAAGGTATTGTGTCCATCTATAACTAAAAAATATTTATTAAAAAAAAAGAAAATGTAGAGTTTTCTATGGAAATGGAAAAACATTTTGTAACAATTTAATAATAGAACACATAAAATAGTAGAGCATGTTTCAAGGAAGACATAATAATAGTAAAAATCATCAAATGCTACAAGAGGTAAAAGTACAATGAAAGGATATAATAATTCCAATTTAATGTTTGTCCTCAACTTTCATTTTCTGAAATAGATCATTTTCTCCAATATGGAAAAATAATTTTCTCAAGTCTAAGTGTCTCTTAAGGCATACTTTTCAGCTACCACAAATATTGACCACTATTCTGCCACAAATCTTATAAAATTAAGCAATAGAACTTGATAACAAGGAAACAGAGAACAATTTACATTGCTCTGGTTTTCAAGGAAGATATCATGTCCAGATCCAAATTTGTCAGAAATTTAGAATTTGGGTTTTAATCTAAAGACAAAAAGAATAAATCTAAGATCATTTTAAAATAAGAAAGTCAAGGAAATAAGTGAATAAGCAGACCAAATGATTGATATAAGACTTGACAGTCTCATCAGGAATTACAAAAACAGAAACAGAAAATAAGAAATTGGTTCAAGAATGCAGAATAACT